TGCGTGCGTGTGAGTGTGTGTGTGTGTGAGAGAGAGAGAGAGACAAAACAAACGCGTCAGGCCCGCTGCGTCAGGCGCGTCAGACAAATGAAAAGAAAACTAAAAACAATAAACAAAAATCAGTGCAACTCGGAAACCCCCACTCGATGGCCACTACAGGCTACTTTGAACGCCCGACCTCTTTTCCAAAAGTAACGATAAAAGAAAGCAAAACTCAAAAAACAAAACGAAACGCTCGCCCGAAACAAAACAAACGCGTCAGGCACGCCGCGGCAGGCGCGTCAGAATTTTACATCGGACGTCTCACGCTTCGCGACTTAGTCACTCGCGCGTCATAATTTTTACATCGGACGTCTCCACGGGAAAACACTAACGTGGACCATCGCAGATGCGAGAGTCGCGTCCGCGGCCGAAAAGCGCGTCGGAATTTTACATCGGACGTCTCACGATTCGCGACTTAGTCACTCGCGGGTCAGAATTTTTACATTGGACGTCTCCACGGGAAAACACTAACGTAGACCATTGCAGACGCGAGAGTCACGTCCGCGGCCGAAAAGTTTTATGGGAGCTGTTAGATTAACCCTGTTCTCTCCAGTTCAATCAACCGCACTGTTTTCCAAGAATCTCGACCACATTACCAACACCCAGGGTCCAGTTATTTACAAAGTTTCGTCTAAGTATCTGGGAGTCTTCTTCCCCCTCCCTCTTCCTCGAGCTCTAGCTATGGTGCTTGCAAGCACCCAGCAGAAGAGGCTGCCTCGTGGCAGCTGCATAACCCCAACAGCACACAGGAGAGGAGGCGCCTCACAGCGCCCACGGCCTGATGCCCAGCGCTGCCCCTGATCAAGCTGCTCGGCCCCAGCCATGGCCGTCAGCTGTGTCTTCATGAGGAAGCCCTGCGCAGCAGAAGGAACCGTGCAGCACACTTCAAAACACGACCTCCCACAGACTCGTGAAAAGAGACTACCAAAAAGAGCCTGAACTCACTTATGCTCGGCCTATTTCTACCAGACCCCTAGACCTACCAGACCCTAGACCTAAGAAAAAAACGAGGAGGACTGCGGCCTACCAGTACCACAAGCTGAAAACAACAAGCAGGCAGGGCCGAAGACTCTTACCCAAACAGGGAAAAGTCCCAGTATGGAACAGGTCCAGGGATCAAGCCCCGGAGAGATCAAATCGAAGAAAACTAACAGAACTGTCTTAGTTACTGTACACCCCGCTGGGAAAACTGCAGGTTATTGCACGTCAATGACATGCCCAAGGTATATGATCATCTTCTCTCCCAACTCACCCTTTCTTTCTATTGATTTAGTATGTGATTTAATACTCGAATTAGTAGTAACCTCCCTTCACCAAGAGAGGTAGATAGCAATGCTTGCAGGGGTCCCTTGTATAACCTTAGGACTCAGGAGCAGTGGTGGGTAGGTCGTTAAAGGTGAAATAATTTGAGAGAAGAATGCAGTGTAAACACTGTAGTTGTTAAAAAACAAAAGAAAAAACTTGTTCAAATCTGGGTTAAGCCGACGCCCGGTCCAGACGGACTGGGGGGGGTCCGCCCGGCAAAACCAGACGAGCCAAAAAACATCCCAGGATTTTTTTTTTTTTTTTTTTGAAGATGGGGTTGG